AGCCTTACTTTTCATTGGCGTTACGGATCGATTGAAGAATTCCAACTGCCGCTGTTGTTTTTCTTTCCAATCCATCACCAACATGATCGGCATGGCATGGCGTTCTATCCTCGAACAACAGCTCACGTCGTTCATAGTGCCTTAAATATATGAGCTGATTCTTTGGAAAACGATATAGTTCACTCAAACCAAGCAGGTTATGAAAATGAAAAATATGAGATACAATGTCCAAATAAGTGATAAAACGAGAACATCATTCATGCACTGTTGTTCATTAAAGACCGAAATTATTCCGCTCACCTGATAGCATGTGAATGCCCTCGCCCTGTCGGCGTACATTTCTTTCTTTTGCTCTCGCGATCGTCCTTTACATCATCAGTACGTATCAACTAAAAGCATCTCCAAATAGTGATCTTCACAAATGTAGGACAGCTATACTTCTGGGAATGCCTATTAGCAATTTAAGCAATGCAACAGACCTGTTCACCTGGACGAACCCAAAAAATAGGCCCATCGTCACATTCAGTAATTGTGTCAAGTTGTAGAGCCGACCATTCTCCCCATGGCATTATTGGGTGAAGGATCTGAGCAGTAATTGAATGAGAGATGAGATAAAAGGTGGGGGCAAAAAGGATAAACGAAAAGTATCACTGTTTATCACAAAAGTTTATGGAAAAACAAAGGAATATTACCGGAGATTTCTCCAACTCTGCCAAGAGGTCAGCGAAGTAGTCACCACATTCCTCTTGCTTTGCACCAACCATCGACAGCGAATGCATTGGACCAGCGCTAAAACCATGTCAATACTGTTCATAAACTTATTTGAGAACAAATTCTTACCGAAAGGTGCCGTGATGGCAGGTTTCCATGACCTGCTTGTAGTAACTATTAAAGGGCATCGTTTCCACCAGTTGTTTATTTGTCAGAGAGCCAACCTGAAGTGCAGTATGTAAAAAAGCTGAAAGAAACTTCTCTTTTGTTAAAGCTGAAAAGTCAAGAAACTATAGGTGAATTTTTGTTATTTTCAGCGTCCGAAGCGCTTGACAAATTCTTTTCTGTACAGATTCCCATGAGGACCCTTTCCATGAACTATCAGAAAGACCCAAGAAAAAGTGGAAAAGGAAGTCTCCATCTAAGAGACAACGCCGGGCCTCACAAGAATGGCAAAAGAGCAAAATTCGGAGAATTAGCCAGAATGCCCCCAGATAAAAGTACTTTTTTGAAAACAGAGATAGCTACTCTCGGTCCAAAGTGCTGTCCAGCGCATTATTAACCTTCGAAATCGATCTCTGATATTTCAATAAAAAAGAAATGGAATAGGATCGACAAGAATAAGGGCAAAATACAACAACAAAATATTGTCTAAGTGGACGGACTGCAAAAGTAACAAAGAAATTTGAAAATAGAATATACCTTCACTGGTAACTGAGGATGCTTCTCATGCATGTATTGGAAAACATCCTAAAAATAAAATTCAAATCATCAATGCAGTGAAAGAGATCCTTAAGTCTACACTTACAGCAAGGTATGACGCTGCATTTTCAAGGATTCCAATTACGAAAACAGGAACTCCATTAGATTCCGCAAGTCCAAGTCGGATAAATTGTTTGGCAAATTCTATCCTAAACAATGTTTGTTGTTTACATATCTTCTGTTTTATATATATTTAAAAAATGAGTCAAGGAAAAAGACTGGCAACAGATCCATGGTACACCGCATAAAAAACACTTCTATGTAGAAATGGTCGCATTTAAATGCAAATGAGAATACTGGTAAAAGTGGTGAAGTAAAACAGTGGACGTATAAAATTTAAAACTAATATATTACCTTTCTTCCGTATCAAAATGCTTGCGAATGTTATTCCAATCTGTCCTCAGTATAGAAGCACCACCATTTGGATGTGTATCGACAACGACAAATTTTCGGAACTAGAAAAAAGACATTCTTTGTAAGAGATTATATTACTATCACTGCTTTTAAAATGAGGTCGAAAATCAAGCAAAAGATAAAATGAAGATACCTTGTTAGATATCCTAGGCAGTTTGTCCTTTTTGTCATGCTTTGTTTCCCTGCCTTCGCTGTGTCTATGCCCAGTCTCTTCTTTGCACTTCGGATTATTATCAGTAGCTGCACATTCTGAGTTGATGTCCTGAACAACTGAGCTCGTCCCGTTCACATATGGCAATGCAGATGTGCTCGGCTGCGTAAGATGAGGTTGATTGTCGTCGCTTTTGTCATTGAAAACTTTCTCCCTAGAAATAAAGAGTAGCAGCTTTCATTTAGTACGAAAGTAACCACTGATGTAAACAGTGAATGCATAATTAAGATGTTTTACGTACAATCTTAAGTTAGCAGTTCATAATAAAACCAAGTAAAAGAAATGTAAAAAAGATCATATATTCGAATAGATCATGATCAATGCCAGAAAATTAAAAATCAATAAAAATCAAAACACTAACTCTCTAGATTTGTGATGATGTTTCCGTGGCTCCTCTACTATTCGGGTTGTACTATTTGTTCCCATATCACGCTGTGGAGAAAGTGCCTTTGAGTGTTGCCTTTCCGGAGTTTCACACTTAACAATATAGAGTTGGGGAAAAAA